CTTAAATGACAAACATTTTATCACATCCTATGAATTCTGTAGGTCAGGATTTCATGTAGGGCTTCACTGGGCAATTCTGCTTTTTGTGCCATTGATTGAGGCACTTATCTGGGAGAGGAGCTAGTCTGGTCTGGAGGGTCCAAGACGGTGACACTCACATGTTTAGTGTCTTGGTGGTGAGGGCTGAGAGGCTGGGCCCAGCTGGAGGCCACTAACCGGAACACCTGCAGCAGCCTCTCCCATATGTGGTCTCCGGGTAGCTAGACTTCTTCCATGCCAGCTGGCTTTCCCCAGGCAAAAGTCCCCAGAGAGCCAAGTGGAAGCTACATGACCTCCTCTGACCTCACCTTAGAGATCTACCTCATTTTTTCTTTCTTTCTCTCTTTCTATTAAAAAAATATATCTTATTGCCTTTTTACAGAGAGGAAGAGAGAGGGATAGAGAGTTAGAAATACCAATGAGAGAGAATCATTGATCAGCTGCCTCTTGCACACCCCCTGCTGGGGATATGCCCACGACTATGGTACATGCCCTTCACCGGAATTGAACCTGGGACCTTTGAGTCCGCAGGTGGATGCTCTATCCACTGAGCTAAACCGGTTTCGGCCCACCTCATTCTTATACAAGCAAGTGATAGGCCAGCTTAGATTCAAGGGAAATTGGATGCTGCCTCTTTTAAAAAATTGTTATAAGAGTTTATAGAGCTAAATTGATGACATATGCCAGGGAGCAAGATCTAAAATGCTACCTAGATTCAACCTCTTGATAGGAAGAATAGCGCAGTCATATTGGACAAGAACATGTGCAAAAAGCCCAGCTGGCGTGGCTCAGTGGTTGAGCATTGACCTATGAACTAAGAGGTCACAGTTCGACAGGTCATATGCCTGGGTTGTGGGCTCGATCTCCAGTGTGTGGGGCATACAAGAGGCAGTTGATCAATGATTCTTATCATTGATGTATATCTCTCTCTTCTCCCTTCCTCTCTGAAATCAATTATTTTGGAATGGAAGCTATCATTGCAACCATCTTAAAAAATACAGACTGCTATAGTCTCCTTGAGTATAAAGCAACCTCAGAGGAAGCAGTTGAGAACTGGAAAGAGAACAGTCCTTGTGATGTCTGAACCTGGATTCACACTGGTGGGGAAGAAGGGCTATATTTCTAATTAGGGAGCTGGGCAATGAAATTATGAAGGCCCAGCAGTGACAGACTGTACCCAGGACAGGAAGGGAGATCTCTCCTACTACCCTGGATTCCAGGTCTCTGGGTTCCCAGGTACTGGGTGGGCAGCCCTTGAGGATAACTCAGAGCTTTAGTCAATCTTCCAGTCCTCAGGGATCATCTGTGGCCTGTTTCTAGCCAGGCCTGCAAAGCCTCCCCAGGCCACAGGGGGCGATGATGGGAGTAGGGGAGAGGGCTCAGATAGCATCTTCCTCCAGAGCCACCAGTGTCAGGCCAGACCTCTCCCAGTGTTCACAAGCTCCTTTCCCGTCAGCAGCATGAGAACCCCTGGCCATAAGCTTAGGTCACCGGTGGCCTGGCTACACTGGGCTCTAAGCCCCCGGCCCCAATCCTCTGGAGAGGGGCGGGGTGATGGATGGGTGTTCAGCATGTTCCAGGCAGAGGTTTGGAGCTGCTGCAGACTAGCCTGGCCTGCAGAAGCCCCAGGGGGGCACTCATGGCTCGGGCTGACCCATCCAGGTCAGGCCCTGGGCAGTCCAGACCCGTGGCTGCCTCCCAAGCCTTGTCTGTCTGCTTGTCTGTCTGCCTGTCTGTCTGTCCTGGGGTTCTGGCTCAGGAGAGCAGCAGCCTCTCCCTCCGAGGAGTCCTTGGAGCAGGGGTTAGGGGTAATCTCAGATTCCCCTAATCTAGCCCTGTGTATCTCACAGCTTGGGACATGAAAGGATCCTTGTGGCTGCTCAGTGCTCAGCCTAGAGCGTGGCCCAAACAGGAGCTCAGTGACGGTTTGTGGGAAAAGAGAGCTGACACTGGGGAGGGGGCAAGGCCACAGGGGCCAGGCCTCCATCTCCGGGCCCGGCATGAGGCAGGAAGACCACCTGGGCCAGATGAGCCCAGCCCTGAGGCAGGCCCTGGCAGCTTGTGTGTCTCCCCTCCCATCTTCGGCCTCCTACGGGGATTCTATCCTTGTGCGCTTCATGAACCAGCAGCTCCAATAGCACTTGGGAGCTTTTAGAAACGCAGACCTACTGAATCAGAAACTCTGGGCACGGGGCACAGCAATCCGTGTTTTCAGAAGCTTTCCAGGGGATTCTGACAAGTGTTCAAATTGTAGAAGCCTTGTTTGAGGCATCAGGCAAACTCATGCTGAGGAGGAGGTGGGTGAAGTCCTGAGCACAGGCAGCTGCATACGCCACCTATGGGTAAGACAGGCTGTTTGGTTGCTGGTGGGTATCTATACCAGAGCCAGACGCATACTCACAGACCAGCACAGAGAACCCACATGCAGGGGCTCTGGGGTCCAATGGGCACAGACAGGCACCGGATGGAAGTAGGTAGGGTCAGAGAGGAGCTGTTCTCACCAGATGACATCCTGTGCTCCACCATGCCTTGGTCCCTTATCCCTTCTGAGGTTCTCTGAGTGTACCCTCAGAGGCCAGAGAAGCCGAGGAGTTGTCCAATTCCAACCAGGCAGGCCCCAGCCGAAAGGTCAGGGGGCCTGTGTGCCTGAGAGAGTTTGGATTATGTGATAAAACCAACAGTCCTTTCTCAGCATGAGTGGGCCATGGCCAGGGGAGTGTGGGGGATCGGCAAGCAAAGTTCAGGCAAGAGCACGCCACCCCCTGAGCTATGAAACCCTGCCCAGATGTACAATTACCCTTGGCCCCTTCCCAGTGCGTCTCAGTGCCCACCCCAGCTCCCCACCCATCTCTCTGCTCTGGTCCGCGGAGCCCCAGGCCGCTGTCCACTTGGCCCATCACCAGGCCCCGCGGCATCTTCCCATAAGGATCTGGAAGTGAAATCCCAGCCTCTGGGAGCTGCCTGGGACGTGGGGAGGGGAGAGAGAGGCTGAGCTTCCTTATGCTCAGATCTGGTTTCGCCGCTTCCCGTGGCGCACTGCCACAGGCTGAGCCACCAGCTGTGCTATATAAGGCCCAGAGGCTGGATCGCTGGAGAGACAGAGACGTGGACCCCCCAGCTGAGGACTCCCACTCAGGACACGGTGAGCTCCACTCCCATTCTCCTCGCCCCAACCCCGCACCCCCTGCCCGGCTCAGCTATTCCTGCCCTCCCCTCACTACCCCGTCTGCTCCCCTAACAAGACCCCCCCTTGCTGCTTTAGAGTTCTCTTTTCCCTCATTGGCCCAAAGTCCTCTCCTTCCCCCGTCTGAGGTCAGGGGCCCTCAAATGACCCCAGTCAGGATCTCCGTAGCTCTGGGCGCCCAGTTTCTTTCCTGCGGTCAGCCAGCCTGCTTTGTCCGAGCGTTCCGAGGCGTGTGGGATGGGGAGCCTACCCAGCAGACATGTGCCGAGGAAACTTCTGTGGGCTGCCAGATGGGAAATGGTTTTTCCACAAGGTGCCTCAGGCCACCGTGGCCTCCCAGACAGCCCCGGAGCGGTCTCGGACTGAACGCCGGGCAGGCCCATGGAGCGCTCTGCTCCCTGCTCAGAGCCCGGAGCTCGGGGTAAGACACACAAGAGCTGGAAACTGTGGGGAGGCCTGGGCCGCTGCTCCCTGGGCTGAGAAACAGCTGCTGGTGGGGACAGCTAGACGGTCCGCAGTGTGGGATGGGTCTGTGCTTCCCCTGGGACAGCGGAGTACTTTCGAATCTTTTTTCCAGAAAGAAGGAATCTTCTCCCTTCCCACTGTACACTGGACTTGGGAGGTTGGAGGGAACCATTTTTTAATCTCTAAGAACTGGCCAGATTCTGGGTTGACCAGAGCTCTGAGGAGAGAGACAACAGGAGCCTGGGCCATGCCCCACGGGCCCCTGTGCTTATTGCCTGGCTGCGTTCCTCTTCCTACTCCTGCAGCCCCTAACCCACAGCCAGCAGTTCCTGGGGACCCAGACTCTCGCAGCGCAGCCCTCCCTCTCTCCCTCAGTGGGCTCCTGGTGGTGTAACTCCCAGCTAGACCCCAAACAAACAGACCAGAAATGTGTTCCAGCTGCAGCCTGTGCACATCTGGGGATGTGTTCGTGGAGGTGGTATGTCTGCAGCATCGGTGCCCTCCAGCTCGCTTGCCGTGAGAGGTCACTGTAGTTGGCGTTGGGGTTTCACAGCCTTACTATTGTAGCTTCTTTATGAAAGAATGAGCCCCCCCCCAAAGGGTAACAAAAACATGCCCCCACACCCATGTCTCGGAAGTAATTAATGAGTCACCCAGAAGTTGCTGGGAGTGAGCCCAGGCCTCTCCTCACTGGCAAGGAACCTCCTCTCCCTTGTGCCCCATCTCGATGTGGGGCCCTGGCACCTGGACCCCGGGGGTGAATCCGGGTCTGCCTCATCTGAACCCAGGTTCTTTTTTTTTTTTTTTTTTTTTTTTTTAATATTTTATTGATTTTATACAGAGAGGAAGGGAGAGGAACAGAAAGCTAGAAACATGGATGAGAGAGAAACATCGATCAGCTGCCTCCTGCACACCCCCCACTGGGGATGTGCCCACAACCAAGGGATCGAACCTGGGGCCTTTCAGTCTGCAGGCTGACCCTCTATCCACTGAGCCAAACCGGTTTTGGCTGAACCCAGGTTCTGAGCTACTGCACCCCTGTAGCTGTCTGCATTTGCAACTTTGGCAGGTGTCACCTCCCACAGACTTCATTCCGTGCACTCCTCCACCCTTGATAGGTCAAGAAATAATTCTGCTTTCTGCCGTAGCCATAAGAGGTGCCTCAGAAACATAGAACCTGGCAAGCTTTGTTTCTCTGCAGGTCACCGGATCTGAGGCGCTTCCCAGGGGACCCACGTTCCAGGGACGACCTGACGTTGTGAAACACCTTCACCCAACTCCCGTCATGCTCCCCACTGAGCCTGGGGGAAAGATGGTGGGGACCAAGGCCTGGGTGTTCTTCTTCGTCCTGATGCTGGAGCTCACCTCTGTGCTGGGTACAGGCTAAGTGTCTGCTGTCTCCCAAATCCCCTACTTGACACAGTGAAGTCATGTCTGGTTTGGAACTTAACTGTGCATCCGCCTTAAGGCCTGAGGCTGGTTTATAGATGTATTTAAAGTTTATTCCCTGATTGTTTCTCCAATATTAAAATGCGCAGAACAGAATATTTTAAGTGAGGAGAACGAGCTGTCATTCAGAGGGAGGGAAAAACAAAAAAGATAGGAGGGCTACCACCCCTGAGTGATAAATTTAGCTCTGAGCTTCCTGGCAGCCAAAGCAGAAGGAAATCGTAGGAGATTATTTTCTCAGAAATAGATTTGAGGATCGATCTGGTTTTAGTTTTATGATTTTTTTTTTTTTTTTTGGCCTAAAGCTCTTTTAGACACAAATTTCACAGACTAGAGAACCCCTTCTGGTCTTCTTGTCCTCTAACTCCATCTTCTGGTGACACTGAGGAGAAGGAATAGGTAGAGAGGATTTGCTTATGAGATTCTCCAAGGCATCTAAGTGTCAGAACTCCTAGCCCTATCTTGTATGCTCCCTCCCATCTGCCCTTTCTCTCCTGATTTCTACCCGCATACTCAGGTAAAGCAAAAAATATATACATTTTTTTAAGTGCTTAAACCTCTCTTTTAAAGCTGTATGCCCTGCGGGCGCTGTGACCACAGTTGCAGGAACAAAGGCTGGCTCCTCGTCTTGCCAAACCCTGTGTGCCGCCGCCTGCCTGGTTTGCTCTTTCCCCCGAGACAGCTGCTGCTGTAGCTGATTAATATTCAACCATCTGAGGGGAAATCAGAGTCGTGTGATTAAAGGAGCTTCTATCACCCCAATTAAGGAATTCTGATTTGGCTCCTCACTTGAAGGTTAATTGCCTTTCAAAGCTTTTGCAGCCCTCTGCTCTCCTTTCTCTTCCCCATGCTGGAGCCCTAACCTGGCCTCAGGTGGGTGGGGCAGGAAGCTATCTTATACGCATCCCAAGGCAGAACCCTCTGTCCTGCGGTCAAAACATTGACAACTACTGTCCCAACTGGGCCAAGTAAGTCCTTTAGGGGGAGGATGGACTCTAAAACCAGCTTTGCCAAGAGAAGGGAAATGGACATCCATTGTCCAGGCATTGAGCTAAGAGGAGTTGCTGATGCTTATTCAGCAGGCACTATGTTCACAAGGCATTGTTCTAAGTGGATTTGATGAATGAGTTTGTCTAATCCCCACAGTCCTCTGAGGCAGGAACTACTATTATCCTCAGTTTATGATGAGGGAACAGGGGTCAGATGAGTTAAGTGTCTGGCCCACGGTCACACAGGGAGGAAGTGGCAGAGTCTCTGGATCTCATGTTCTCAATCTTCATATACTTTAGAGATGTTCACGTGTGTTACCGCACAGACTTGTCATGCCATCCGGACCACCCTGTGAAGTGGGAATTAATATCTCCATCTTGCAGGTGGAGAAAAATAAGCCTCCATTCTTTATGGCAAGGACCTCCCACCCATTGGCTGCTCCCTGTCCTCCAAAGATGTTTCTAGAACAAGAGCAAAAAGAAAATAACCGCTTGTTGAGCTTGCACTACATGCCAGCTCCCTTTCCTCTCACTATCGTTCTGAATATGCCCCAGGGCCCGTGAGGCAGTGATTATTAGTACAGCCCTATTATATGGGGGAAAAGATTTAGAGGAATAAAGCTCTTAATGAGGTTGCAGAGCCAGTAAGTGGCAGAGCGGGGATTTGAGCACATGTCCCATGCTTATGCTCCATCCACCATTCTTGAGAGGCTAGTCAGAGGACCCGCTGGGCCCTGATAACTAACTGTTCTGGCCTCTCCCTTCCCCTCCTGGCCCCAGGGAGGCAGATGATGCTCAGCCAGTCTGTGAGAAGAGTCCGACCTGGGAAGAGGACCCTCAGCAACTTTGCCAAGCCTGCGAGCCCCCTGGAGAGTGAGTTGTGGCTGGAACTGGGAGGGGCCACTAGGGGGGTGTTTACTGAGGTTGGGTGTGATTTCCAGGTTGTAGGAAAACCCACTTTTCTTTTTTTTTTTTTTTTTTTTTTTTAAATATATTTTATTGATTTTTTACAGAGAGGAAGGGAGAGAGACACAGAGTTAGAAACATCGATGAGAGAGAGTCATCGATCAGCTGCCTCTTGCACACCCCCTACTGGGGATATGCCCGCAACCAAGGTACATGCCCTTGACCGGAATCGAACCCGGGACCCTTCTGTCCCTAAGCCGACGCTCTATCCATTGAGCCAAACCGGTCCCGGCGAAAACCCACTTTTCAAAAGATATGTTTTTATTGATTTCAAAGAGTGGAGGGGAGAGGGATAGAGAGGTAGAAACATCAATGATGAGAATCATGGATCAGCTGCCTCCTACACACCCCCTACTGGGGGCTGAGCCCACAACTGGGTGTGTGTTGTGACCCAGAATCCAGTCGTTACTTCCTGGTTCATGGATTGTCGCTCAACTGCTGAGCCACATTGGCCAGGCTGGAAACCCATGTTTACAAGGCATTTGGCCTACGTCTTTGTGCAGGCAGAGGCATTTGCTATATAGAACAGTCCAGAATCATGAATATGCCTGATATGTTTCAGGAATGCAGAAGGGCTTGCTGGGGCCAGAGCATAGGTTGGTGGGGAGAGAATGGGGGAGATGAGGGTTGAAAGCCAGCTCATACCACCCTAAATGCTGGGAGTGTGGGATCAACCCACATGAAGAAAGCCCACCCTGCCTACTGTGTTGAGGATGGGGTCAGAGAGAAACTGAGGTAGAGAGACCAGGCAGAAAGTTACTGACATGGTACAGCCAGGCTGCTAATGGCTTTATGGAGTCCTCGGCGGAAGTGGAGGGATGCAGAAGGGCAGGAGATTGGAGAGATGCTGGAGAGACAGATGCAATGGGCCCTGAGACCAATAGAGGGCGTTGGGTGGGAGCATGAGGGATATGAGGGATGACTCCCAGGAACTGAGCAGAAAAAGGAACTGGAGCTGACTTGGGGCTCCAGAGCCTGACTCCTCCCCATCCTGGCTCTATCTCTCAGCTCCGGGCGAGTGGACAACATGGTTCAACGTTGACCACCCAGGCGGGCAGGGTGACTTTGAGCGACTGGATGCCATTCACTTCTACTACGGGGAGCGTGTGTGCGCTCGGCCCCTGCGGCTGGAGGCTCGGACCACTGACTGGAGACCTGCAGGCAGCACTGGCCAGGTGGTCCACGGCAGTCCCCGCGAGGGCTTCTGGTGCCTCAACCGGGAGCAGCGGCCCGGCCAGAACTGCTCCAATTACACCGTGCGCTTCCTCTGCCCGCCAGGTGAGCCTGGGCGGCCCGCCCTTACCTGTCTCTGGCCATGGGAACTCTGGCCATCACACATACACATGCTTTGATTCCCCCGTAATAACCAACCAGTGTCATGAGAGCCACAATCTTCCTGTTCTGTGTTTCTGGGTGCTCTTCATTCACTCCACGTCACTGGGGACGTGGGCCTCGGTGGTGAAAACCACAGACTCTGGAGCTGGGCTGCTTGGTCCCGGCCTGGACCGGGAACTCCGTTCCTTAGTCCCTGGGCCTCAGGTTCCTCACATGTAGAAAGGGTAATACTAGTAAACCTTCATGGATGTTTTTGTTTTGTTTTGTTTTGTTTTTGTTTTTGAGGATTAAGTAAGCTAATGAATATAGAGGGCTTAACCCAGGTAACATTCATTAAATGTTAGTTTCCATTTGTGCCAGATACTGTGCTGGTTATCAACATCATTCAGACTTTACAACTGAGTCTTGAGGAATCTCTACATCCAGAGCGGTTAGGTAACTTCTCATGATTACACAGCTGTCAGTGGAGAGCTGGGGTTCGAACCCACGTCTGTGTTTGCAGAGTCCAACAGTTTATGCTCTGTACTTCCTCCCCACCCACACCGGCTAATACAGAGCAAGCTCCTGGCTGCCCACTCTGTGGATGGGTACCCTCACCTTTTGGGGTTCCATCGGCTCTCACAAGGCCCAGGTGGCAGTGGTGGTCATCTGGAGTTGGGAGCTCAGGTTGGGCAGGGTCTCCTGGGCAAGGTCTGAAGCCCCCATTATTGCACACAGACCTTAGACCAGAGGTGAGGAGGGCAGGCATAAGGGGGTTTGATGACTGAATCACCGCAGTCCCAGGCTCTGGTGGCTATTTCCACACTGGTGGACAGGGAAGGTGATGCTAACCCTGAACAGCCTGAGGCAGCGTATCAGCTCCCAGTGCTTGGCCAACACGTCCCTCTCAGGGCCACCCTTGACCACACGGTGTCTTTGTGCAAATTAGAGATGCTACCTCCTCAAGACTCTTGACTTCCTTCTGTTGGAAAAGTCATTGTAGTAAATAAGAATATCAGTGACATTTATAACGTAAACAAGGTCCTGCTCTCTGAGCAAAAGTAGCCTTAGGGTCAAATTTCCTGACAGAGTTTCCTTGGGAGGGAGGAAGTCAGACTGTCTGCCCATCCTGCTTTGCAGGATCCTTGCGCCGAGACACAGACCGTATCTGGAGCTCGTGGTCTCCCTGGAGCAAGTGTTCTGCTGCCTGTGGTCACACGGGGGTCCAGACCCGAACACGCACCTGCTTGGCAGAGACAATGTCGCTGTGCAGTGAGGCTTCGGAGGAGGGCCGGCTCTGTATGGACCAGGCCTGCACAGGTACCTCTCTTGTTCCTGGTACTAGGCAGGGAATGGCATGGAGGAGGAAGCAGCCTACAGTAGGTTAAAGGGCCAGATTGAGTTGGGTTCATTCATTCATGCAGTCATCAAGTATTAACTATTATGTGCTCTGATGGGGGCTATAAGGGAAAATGTGGGAGCACAGAGGCCCATCATCATAGCTTAGGGGAACCAAAGTGGACTTCCTAGGGAAGGTGTCCTGAGCTAAGTCTTGAAAGATAGGTAGGAATGAGCCGAAACCAGTTTGGCTCAGTGGACAGAGAGTTAGCCTGCAGACTGAAAGATCCCAGGTTCGATTCCCATCAGGGGCATGTACCTTGGTTTCAGGCACATGCCCGGTGGGGGGGGGGGTAGGAGGCAGCTGATCGATGTTTCTCTCTCATCAATGTTTCTAACTTTCTATCTCTTTCCCTTCCTCTCTGTAAAAACCAATAAAATATATTTTAAAAAAGAAAGAAAGAAAGAAAGAAAGAAAGAAAGAAAGAAAGAAAGAAAGAAAGAAAAAGAAAGGTAGGAATGAGTCATGCAGGCTAATAAGGAAGGACAACAAAGGCCTACGGGGGAGGGGAAGCATATGTGATGTGCTAAATGTGATGTGGCTAAAGGAGGGCCAGCATCCACATAAGCCTTCCCGACATGGCCTCTTCTTCCACAGCCTGTGACCTGGTCTGCCACATGGGCCAGGTGAATGCTGACTGTGACGCCTGCATGTGCCAGGACTTCATGCTGCATGGGACTGTCTCCCTCCCTGGGGGTGCCCCAGCCTCAGGAGCCACTGTCTACCTGATGACCAAGACACTTAAGCCGCTGACCCGGACGGACAGCAGTGGGAGATTCCGAGTCCCTGGCTTATGCCCAGATGGCAAAAGCATCCTGAAGATCACAAAGACCAAGTTTGCTCCCATCAAGCTCACGATGCCCACGACTAGCCTGAAGTCAGCCACCATCAGTGCAGAGTTCATGAGAGCAGGTACTTACTTTCTCTGGGGTGGAGTGGGGTTTTTAAATAAAGGGACTGCAGTGGTAAGAGCTGGTTTCCCAGTTTAGACTAAAACTCAAAACCCTAACCATGACCTACAAGGCCCAACATCATCTGCTCCATCCCCACCCCCATTACTTCTCTGCTCTTCTCTTCTATTATCCTCCTGTCTGCCCCCACTGAGTCACTCTACTGCAGCCACCATGTCCTCCTCTCTGTTCCTCACACACACAGGCACACTCCTGCCTCAGGGCCTTTGCACTTCTGTATACTCTGTTTAGATATTGGCATGGCTTGCTCCCTGAAATGAGTTCTTCCCTGGACCACCTCATTAAAATAGTCATTACAATATAGTGTGAGGTTTGGAGGTCAGGAAGAGACAGAGAAAGGCTGGGGGATTAAGAAATGGTACAGAATAGCTGGAAAATTCTGCTGGAGGCAGCACAACAGGAATATTGTAATAGATATTTTAAATATCTATTTAAAGCAACCAACTCTGTTTCAATGGCCGTGCTTGGGAACCATGGCTGGCGCAAGGTCCCCTTGGTTCTCCATTGCCTCACCTAGATGCTGCTTGAGAGGCCACGGAAGCAGGTCCTAAGGTAGAAGAGGTGGACTCCATTCTGGATCAGTACCCTAATTAGGATCTTTGCAGGTGGGGTGTGGGGTGGTGGCATGTGTGTGAGGTCATACAATTCTAACACTTGTCAAAGAACCGGGCGAAGCAAGGCTCTGGAGAATCTGTCACAAAGGAAAACCCAAAGCACCATTTCTCGTCTTCTGTCCCAGAGATCCCATACATTGTGAAGAACCCTGAGACAAAAGCACGGAGAGCTGGGCAGAGTGCGGCCCTGTGCTGTAAGGCCACGGGGAAGCCCAGTCCAGACCAGTATTTCTGGTGAGTATTCTGCCAGCTGCCCTGCCTGATTCTTCTTTGGGCAACCAGATCTTTCTTGCATTTGGTCTGGTTATATATATAAATATATATGGATGTATATAATTTCAGAGAGGAAGGGAGAGGTAGAGAGAGAAAGAAATATCAATGATGAGAGAGAATCCTCAATCGGCTGCTTCCTGCATGCCCCCCACTGGGGGTTGCACCTGAAACCTGGGCATGTACCCTGACCGGGAATTGAACCATAACTTCCTGGTTCATAGGTTGACACTCAACCATTGAGCCACACCAGCTGGGTGGTTTGGTCTTATTAATCCCTAGAGGCCCAGTGCATGAAAATTCATGCACTGGAAGGAGGGTCCCTCAGTCCGGCCTGCCCCCTCTCACAGTCCGGGAGCACTCAGGGGTGGGAGGCGATCCAGCAGTCAGGGGAAGGCGACGCCCAATCACACCTCTGCTGCTGCCACTGTCAGCAGTGCAAGCCTCAGCTGGCCCTGGTTACCTGAGCCTCCGGCCACCGAGGGAGACATCCAAGGCTTGCCTGTGTCTCAGGCTGACCCTGGGTGGCTGGGGAGTTGAGGGGACTGGGGAACTCTGGAGGCAGCGGGGCTGAGAGGACTGGGTGCTGCCATCTTTTGGCTGTGGGTGCTGCCATCTTTGAGGGCAGGGCAGTCAATTAGCATATTCCCTCCTTATTGGCTGTGGGTGCTGCCATCTTTGAGATGGTGTGGGAGTCAATTAGCATATTCCCTCTTTATTAGATAGGATAATACTAACCAACAAAATAAAGTTAGAAGTAGGGTCCAGGTTCAGAGCCCAGAAGTTGGCACTTAAGTTTTTTGTTAATCCTCACTTGAGGATATTTTTCCGTTGATTTTTAGGGAGAATGGAAGAGAGAGGGACAGAGAGAGAGAGAAATATCGATATGAGAGAAATACATCAATTGTTTGCCTCCTATATCAGCTCTGACCAGGGCTGGGGTCAGGGAGGAGCCTGCAACCCAGTTATATACCCTTGACTGGAATCAAATCTGAGACCCTTCAGTCCTCAAACCAACCCTCTATCCACTGAGTCAAACTGGCTAGGGCCGGAAGTTGGCACTTATAAGTGGGGACCATCAGGATTGAGGCCACACAGACAACCAGAAAGCCCTGTGTGGTCTTCTCAACACTGGGGTTTCTACAGAGCTGCTCTGGTCTCTGGGTCCTGACTTGCATATCCTCTGGATACAGAACAAGGTTCCTCAGCCCTGCTTCCCCGCCAAAGGCAAATGAGGTTAGAATCTCCTGTGGCTGTGAGTCCTTTACCCTTCACAGACATTTTACAGCCATTCTCTTGTTTGACCTACCCAATGTTTCTGTGATGTCAGCTAGGAATCACTGCTCCCATTTTATTGATCAGGAAGCTGATGCTAAGGAAGATGAGATGATTTGTCCAAGGATCCATAGCCAGCAAGTGATGGGGCTGAGACTCAATCAAGTCCCTTGACTCCCAGGCCAATCAGTGCTCTTGGATGAGCTATGTCAAAGGTGGTGTTGGCATCTGCAGGGACCCATCCACCAACTGTCTCTCTGGCTGCTTGCTATGGCACTGCCCCCTCAGGCTGCACCTCTCCATCCCTTGCAGGTATCACAACAACTCGCTGCTGGATCCCTCCCTCTACAAGCACGATGGCAAGCTGTTACTGAAGAACCTTCGGCGGGACCAGGCTGGGGAGTACTTCTGCAAGGCCCAGAGCGACGCGGGGGCTGTGAAGTCCCAGGTCGCCAAGCTGATTGTCATAGGTAAGCCTGGCAGGGTCCCTGGGGAACCTCTACTGCAGGACTGGGGAGCACCTCAGTGGACATAACTGGGCAGCAAAAAAACCAGCTTTTCTGTGCTGTGTACAATGCTATGTCCTCTGAGACACAGATGCCACAGATCCCAATTCTACCCTCTCGGAGCTGCCCCCCCAGAAGAGGTCAGGAAATGTAATTAAGTGTGCCTTGGCAGCACAGTCAAGGATTCAGCGAGCCTGAGGGAGGGCCGGTGAAGGATGAAGAAAAGACAGACAAAGAGAATAAGCTGGGTCTAAGTGCATCTTCTGTGCGTGACTGAGACCACAGAACAGATCCAGACTGCAAGCTGATGCTTTATTTTATAATCAGAGGTAAACAAGGTATTTACAATGTTCTTATAAGTTTCCCTTGTTTTTGGCAGCACTTGCTGCACCTCCCACAGCCTATTGGCTCCCCAGAAAAGATCTAGGGAGTAGTCACAAGATCAAGCTTAATTATGTTAAGAGTGCTGTGTCCTCTAAGCAGGGACTTGTTTTCGACTTTGCCAGCAGGTCAGTCTGAGGCTTAACCCTATAACCGCTCCCTACAGTTAAGAGACGAGTAAAGATAGGCAAATGCAGTTAAAGCAGGAGATAATGGGCCATGGACTCTCTAGATGAGAGATAGAAACTTTCCAGGCAGGAATGACCATGGGTGGCCACCTGAGAGAGCAGCATTTCAACTGGGGCTTAAATAGTGATTTTTAGGTTTGGATGCCTGGTGGGATCATCTGGTTGGTGTTAACAAAAACCCAGCTGCCTGAAATTTATCCCTCCCTCCCAGAGAGTTTTAAAAAAATATATATTTTTATTGATTTCAGAGAGGAAAGAAGAGGGAGAGAGAGATAGAAAGTTCAATGATGAGAGATAATCATTGATGGGCTGCCTCCTGCATGCCCACACTGTGGATCAAGTTTGAAACCTGGGTATGTGCCCTGACTGGAATCAAACCATGACCTCCTGGTTCATAGGTCAACCCTCAACCATTGAGCCTCGCTTGGCCAGGCACTCCCAGAGAGTTTTATTTCATTGGCTTTGGATGTGGCCTGGGTATGCACAATTTAAAACCTTCCCCAGGTGATTGTAAGTTATAAAGCCCTGGTCTTACCGAATGGCCATATTAAGGGGCCAGTGTGAGCAAAGGTATAGAAGTGGGAAGCTGAGAGGCTTTCTAAGAAAGGGTGATCTGATTAGAAATGGCTTATGGAGTGAGTTGGTGCCCTAGCCAGTTTGGTTCAGATAGAGCATTGGCTGAGGACCTAAGGGTCCCAGGTTTGATTCCAGTCAAAGGCACATGCCCGAATTGAGGGCTCAATCATCACTTGGGGGCGTGCAGGAGGCAGCCGATCAATGATTCTCTCTCATCATGATGTTTCTGTCTCACCCTCTCCCTTCCTCTCTGAAATCAGTAAAAATGTTTTTTAAAAAGAAAAAGAAGTGTACTTGAGGGGAAGACTTGAGGTCAAAATCAATCAGGAACCTGTACTTGGAAAGTGAGAGAGAAGGAGGATAGCTTAGTAATTGGCCTAAACAAAACCAAACAAAACACAGAGGAAGAGAAAATTTATTGGAAGGGTTCTGGAGTATTTTACAGACTCCAAGAAAGTTGAGCAACAGACCTCAAGACACAGGACAGTTGGACCTTGGCAACAGTGGAGCCCTGTCAGCTGTGGATCCCAACCCATAACACCAATGCTCCCCTTTCTCACCGTTATTTTGAATACTTTAAATTTTTAACACTTTACATTTACAAAATATTTTCTATTCTGAAATTAAATTTATGGATAATAAGTTAACTACATATAATTGCTAAGTATACAATAAATGCACACATCCCAAACTATACCATACAGGAGAAATAAAAAGAAAATAGTTTTAATGCAAAATAATATGTATTTCAATATGTAAAGGCTTTGGCATAATTTCCCAAGAAAGCCCACCAAGAGGTCAGACATTTGCATTTGACTCCAGTCGCTGTGACTGTGGCAGCTGCAAATACTGATGGATGCAGGGGTCTCATTGTGGTGGGTCACATTCCTTGGGGAAGGCGGTAAATACATTATTTTTCTGAGACAAGGAACAATTTTTAATATATATATATTATTGATTTATTACAGAGAGGAAGGGATAGGGAGAGAGAGTTACAAACATCGATGAGAGAGAAACATCAATCAGCTGCCTCCTGCATACCCCCTCCTGGGGATGTGCCCACAACCAAGGTACATGCCCTTGACCGGAATCAAACTTGGGACCCTTGAGTCCCAAGGCCAATGCTCTATCCACATAAGCCAAACCGGTTAGGGCAAGAAACAATTCTTGTTATTTTCCCAAGCTAAACAAAGTATAATCTTACCTTGATTTTTATGGTAGCTGCATTTTCGGAAAAATTTGAGGTATGGTAAAGTCACATTAACATAAATACTAGGCTCTGATCATTGTAAACAAGTTTTCCACCTACATGAATGTCTGGTGGGATATGTGAAAGTCATGCCGGAGACAGAAAAGTGCCAGGCTTTGCCGGTCAGAGCAGCAATGCCCCCACCCACTACACGCCAGCAGCACTCTTCATTTGGGTGGTAACTCAACACGCCCTCACAGATCTTAATGGCTCATCTCCAATGAGAGCCATTACTGTTGTGGTCTCAGCAACCACCTCTATTTCTCCATGTATAAAACGGGCTTAGCAACAACGGCTGTTTATCTTTCTCAGAGAGGTTCTGTGAGAAGCAGGCTCTTGGATATGGAAGTGCTTTGAAAACGGTAAAGCACTGCACAGAGGTGAAGCTAAGGTGTCTTGTGTGCAGGATGTGAGCTTACATTTAACAGCCACACCGTGTCCCTCCACAGCCCCTGATGAGGCTCCGTGCAATCCAACGCCTGAGAGCTACCTTATCCGGTTGCCTCATGACTGCTTCCAGAATGCCACCAACTCCTTCTACTATGACGTGGGCCGTTGCCCTGTCAAGACCTGTGCAGGGCAGCAGGATAACGGGATCCGGTGCCGGGACGCTGTGGAGAACTGCTGTGGCATCTCCAAAACAGAGGAGAGGGAGATCCAGTGCAATGGGTACACGCTGCCCACCAAGGTGGCCAAGGAGTGTGACTGCCAGCGGTGTACGGAGACCCGGAGTATTGTGCGGGGCCGTGTCAGCGCTGCTGACAATGGGGAGCCCATGCGCTTTGGCCACGTGTACATGGGGAACAGCCGTGTGAGCATGACTGGCTACAAGGGCACGTTCACCCTCCACATCCCCCAGGACACGGAGAGGCTGGTGCTCACGTTCGTGGACAGGCTGCAGAAGTTCGTCAACACGACCAAAGTGCTGCCCTTCAACAAGAAGGGGAGTGCCGTGTTCCACGAGATCAAGATGCTTCGGCGGAGGGAGCCCGTCACCCTGGAAGCCACGGAGACCAACGTCATCCCCCTGGGGGAGGTGGATGGTGAAGGCCCCGTGGCTGAGTTGGAGATCCCCTCCAAGAGCTTCTACAAGCAGAACGGGGAGCCCTTCACGGGAAAAGTAAAGGCCAGCGTGACCTTCCTGGACCCCCGCAATATCTCCACAGCCGCCGCCGCCCAGAGTGACCTGAACTTCATCACTGATGACGGAGACACCTTCCCCCTTCGAACCTATGGCATGTTTTCCGTGGACTTCAGAGATGAGGCCACCTCGGAGTCTCTTAATGCTGGCAAGGTGAAGGTTCACCTCGACTCGACCCAGGTCAAGATGCCGGAGCACGTGTCAGCGATGAAACTGTGGTCGCTCAACCCAGACACGGGGCTATGGGAGGAGGAAGGTGACTTTAAATACGAAAGCCGAAGGCGGAACAAAAGGGAAGAGAGAACCTTCCTGGTGGGCAACATGGAGATCCGAGAAAGGAGGCTTTTTAACTTGGATGTCCCCGAAAGCAGGAGGTGCTTCATCAAGGTGAGGGCCTACAGGAGCGAGAGGTTCTTGCCCAGTGAGCAGATCCAGGGGGTTGTGGTCTCTGTGATCAACCTGGAGCCCAGGACTGGCTTCTCATCCAACCCCAGGGCCTGGGGCCGCTTTGACAGTGTCATCACGGGCCCCAACGGGGCCTGCCTGCCTGCCTTCTGTGACGACCAGTCCCCTGATGCCTACTCTGCCTATGTCTTGGCAAGCCTGGCTGGGGAAGAACTGGAAGCAGTGGCGTCTTCTCCCAAATTCAACCCAAATGCAATCGGTGTCCCTCAGCCCTACCTCGACAAGCTCAAGTACCGTAGGACAGACCATGAGGACCCACGGGTTAAGAAGACGGCTTTCCAGATCAGCATGGCCAAGCCGAGGCCCAACTCAGCCGAAGAGAGCAACGGACCCATCTACGCCTTTGAGAACCTCCGGGCATGTGAGGAGGCACCGCCCAGTGCAGCCCACTTCCGGTTCTACCGGATCGAGGGGGATCGGTACGACTACAACACCGTCCCCTTCAACGAAGACGATCCCATGAGCTGGACGGAAGACTACCTGGCGTGGTGGCCCAAGCCAATGGAGTTCAGGGCCTGCTACATCAAGGTGAAGATTGTGGGGCCCGTGGAGGTGAATGTGCGATCCCGCAACATGGGGGGCACCCACCGGCAGACGGTGGGGAAGCTGTACGGAATCCGGGATGTCAAAAGCACACGGGACAGGGACCAGCCCAACGTCTCATCCGCCTGTCTGGAGTTCAAGTGCGGCGGGATGCTCTATGACCAGGATCGTGTGGACCGCACGTTAGTGAAGATCATCCCCCAAGGCAGCTGCCATCGGGCCAGTGTGAACTCCATGCTGCACGAGTACCTGGTCAACCACCTGCCGTTGGCGGTCAACAACGACACCAGTGAGTACACCATGCTGGCGCCTCTGGATCCACTGGGCCACAACTACGGCATCTACACCGTCACTGACCAGGACCCTCGTGTGGCCAAGGAGATCGCCCTGGGCCGGTGCTTTGACGGCACCTCGGATGGCTCCTCCAGAATCATGAAGAGCAACGTGGGAGTGGCCCTCACCTTCAACTGCATAGAGAGGCAGGTGGGTCGCCAGAGTGCCTTCCAGTACCTCCAAAGTATCCCAGGCCAGACCCCTGCCCCCGGCACGATCAGAGCAAGAGTGCCCTTCCGGAGGCAGCAGCGGGCAAGTAGGGGCGGCCAGCGCCGGCCTGGAGGGATGGCCTCTCTGAGGTTTCGTGGGGTTGCTCAGCAGCCTTTAAACAACTGAGTCTTAATGGTACTTCTCTTCCCCCCCACGAACCTCACGTGACAGCCATTGTGAGACTGAAGCACAAACTGTCACTTGGTTAATTTAAGCACATCTGTTCTGGTGCAGTTTGCTTGTTTGTTTCCCTTCATGCCTTTACTTACTGTCTTTGCCCCGTGATACTGACTGGCGCGTGGCCCCAACAATGGCAAAATAAAGCCTCTTTGATCTGTTCTTTAAAAGAAACACCAGAAATTGGCCATTGGCAAGCGTTGTGGCTTTGACTGTTTTTTCGTTTGGTGCCATCCATAGAAGTCCCCTTCCTTTTCTGTTTGCAATAATGATAATCTGAAGTTGAACGTGAAATAACCAATATAAAATATATTTTCTGGTCTTGCTCCAAGGACGTACGCAGCAAGGTCTTCATCACTGTTCATACATATAAATGGTGGTAAAATAAAATAATAAACTCCAAGATGTTTACTTGAAATGTAAATAAGTTATTTCTTTACTGGATCTGGAACTCTTAGTGCACATTTCACGTTAAGCTATTGAATATAGGATAATCATAGTTCTCCGCCGAGTCTGGAAAGTACATCTCGTATCCAACTGCACCAGGTTGATAATTACATTAACATGTTTCCCTTTACATTTGCTTTCGTTCTTGCTAGAAGCCCAGGGCAGCTCAGAGCAGATGTCAATAAATGTACGTTTTGTACTTGATTTTGAGACCGTTGTCCCGTCTTTTAACCCCAGCTGCTCAAGGAGACGAGGGGACTCTGGAAAGTGATCACCAGGTGGCCTGAGCCCGCCCCCTCTGAGTGGCAGGGCTGGGGAGTGAGACACACACTCTACCGTGAAGTTTGCTCTCGTGGATCATATTTTCCACTCACAGAGAAGAGCAGAGATTCCTGGAGTTGTGAGCATGTTCTGGACTCCTGAGCAAAGCTAAACACATGTCCCAATGTGGTTTTTCCCCCCTTTCTTTCCAATACTGGGAAGCATATACAATGGCTTGGCCCATGATCTGGTAAGCTGGCCAAGTGGTCTTTCAGCATCCCCCACTGCCTGCTGCCTTCTCCAGCTGGCCTGGCTGGCCTCACGCAGAAATTGTGGTGTCTCTCTCTCTCTCTCTCTCTCTCTCTCTCTCTCTCTCTCTCTCTCTCTCTCTTTCTCTCTTTCTCTCTTTCTCTCTTTCTCTCTTTCTCTCTCTCTCTCTCTCTCTCTCTCTCTCTCTCTCTCTCTTTCTCTCTTTCTCTCTCTCTCTTCTCTCTTTCTCTCTTTCTCTCTTTCTCTCTTTCTCTCTTTCTCTCTTTCTCTCTTTCTCTCTTTCTCTCTTTCTCTCTTTCTTTCTTTCTTTCTTTCTTTCTTTCTTTCTTTCTTTCTTTCTTTCTTTCTTTCTTTCTTTCTTTCTTTCTTTCTTTCTTTCTTTCTTTCTCCCCCTCCAAGCAGTTATAAAGACATCCACCTTTTCCAAACACCAGATTTCTATTGTGTGTGACAGCCCCTGTTCCTTGAGTAAAACAACTGGTCCCGATGAATAGGCCTTTGTTTTGGGAAGAGAGGTTTGGGTTAAAATAGTAAATCAGAGGCTGGTGGATGGTTCCAAAGTGATCTTGGAGACATGGACAGTCGGGGCAGAGGGGTGTGGGGTTGGGTAAGACGCACTGACTGCCCTTCTCCCAATCCCTCTGTCAGGAAAGAGGCCACAGGGATTGGGGGAGGGAAGCCTTATGTACAATCAGGACAAAAAGCTTTCCTTGATCTCCTGGCTGGCCCCAGGCAGCTCCTTTTGGTCGCCTCTGGCCTGGACTGGGTTTGCACTCTTGGATCAGAGTCTGCCCCGCTCCCAAGGGTTTGGTTCATAATCAATTAGAAATTTCTCTGGCGGAGCACCCCTTCCCCATGACCTCTGAGAAAGTGAGCACATGCAGGGCTGGGCCCAGTGGCCTGTGATGGATTGCTCCTGGACTCACTTCCAGACTCCGCTTCCCAGGGAGCAGCTCTCGCTGACTGCTTGGGGTGGGGCATTGCCTGACCTTCCCGAAGGGTCAGTGTTAACTGTCTGCAGCACAGACGCCTTGCCATCCTGCGTGAGGAGCCAGTGGGTGCTGCTTCAGCCTGTCCACTAGCTCCCTTTCAGCTCCCCGAGAGGGGTGCTGGGAGAGTGAGCTGGCTGGGCTCCCGCCCCATGACCTTGCCCTTCTGTTCTTCCTTGAGGGTCTGAATAACTGGACTCCAGCAGGTGGCAGCTGGCACCTGACTTCTTTCTTCACTTATCAAACATTTGTTATCTGCCTACTCTATGCTAAGCCATGTGGAGAGGTGGACTGGACTGGATGAGTATATAAAATATACCGTACACAGTGGCACTACCACTTGAGGTGGTAGTCAGAGGGGGCTTCTGGGAGGAGGTGACATCTAATTTAAGGACTAAATGCTAGCGAGGAGCTTAAGCTGTGGCTGTCGGCAGCAAGGAGCACAAGCAGATGCAGCTTGGAGGCTGGGTGGGAATGGCAAACGCCCCACTTTCAGAAAAGGGAACACTGGTGAGTTCATGGCACCGAATTCCTAAGCATCTTGCTTCCAAAGACAGGTGTGCTGCCTGCTAGCTGCATGACTTTGGTCCATTTCCCTGGACTTCATTTTCCTTCTCTATAAATGAAGGAGTTGGCTGTACACTAAAACTAATATAACATTAAAGGTAGAAAAGGGTCTAGGGAGATAAATGGTGATGGGAAAAATATTAAAATAATAAAAATATAGCTATATGTTAGTTATATCTCAATAGCTTTTTTTTTTTTTAAGTGAAGGAGTCAGTCTAGCTTAGAATCTAACCCATCTCTAAAGTCCTTTCCATGATGTTCAGTGAGCGAGGAGCACAGTTCCCAGGATGCCTTCGCCTTACCAAACTGCTGATGATTCACCGGGTGTTTCCTTCCCCCGTGGAGACTGCACACTGGATGGACAAAACGTTCATTTCAGAAAAACCCTGGGGTTTTGGCCTCGGCCTGCTGTATACTGGCTGGCCACCCAGTTACTGAGCGTGAACTGTATGGGGATGGACAGCAGATGGCAGGGAGGAAGGGCACAGGCCGAAAGAGAGCAGGGCCAATCAGGCTGCTTCTGCTCCAACCAAGGAAGGGCTCCAGGCAGAAAGCTCTCTGTAGTTCGGAGAGCTCTAGCAGTTAGGGTGAGAGAGCAAAATGTCAGTGCGAGATCAGGACAAGAGCAGAGTCTTGAAAGATTGAGGAAATTTAGACAAGCCAAGTTGGAGGCAGTGCCGGGATAGGTGGTTTCCAGCACAACGATTGGCCAGAGCCAAGGAATGGAGGTGGGACTGAACACTGGGAGGCTTTTAGTTACATGTAGCTGGGGGTACACAACAGGAAGAACTGGGATCAGGAACTGCAAAGCCATTGAATCCAGGCCATCACTCTCCATGGTTTTAATTCTCTTATTTCCTCCCACTCAGTGGTTTTTCTCTCTCAGTCTCTCACTCAGTCTTGCTCTACTTCTCAGATTGGCTCTCTGTTTCTCTCTCCTCTTTCTAGGCCTCTCTCTGGCCAGCCTATTTCTCAGTTTCTTCTTTTTGCAGGCACCCTGAGTTTCTCTCTGCAGATCAGCTATGCCTGCTATTGGGGATTTGTAGAAGAGGTGGTTGTTTCCTCAAGACAAAGAGTCCTGGCCTAAGCACAGATTCCTTGGGGAGAGAATCTGATTGGCTCAGTTAGAAATGGGGCTCCCCCCCTGGTTTAACCAACCGTGGCTGTAAGTGGGGGTGGGATGAGGGGCTGCTTAGGGGCAGTCCTATGAGTCATGGTTGCTGGGGAGAAGGAGCAATTCTCAGAGAAAGGGAATCCTGATGAATTGGGGAGACACTGCAAAAGGTGACTACTTCAGGTGACAGTGAACAGATCATTGTGGGCTTACTGGAAGTTTAGGGTCTTTCCATTTCCAAACACCAAAGGACTTGAAACATATCAAATGAGATCTGGGTGGCGTCTGTTCTTTGAAATCTGATGTCTTGCTTCATGACTTAGAACTTAATTAGTTTTTGTAGTTTCTATGAGCGATTGGGGGAAAAAAAAAAAAAGTGTATTCCCTAATCATTGAGTGCAGGTTTCTACATAAGACCATTAACTCAAACTTGTTAATTGTTTTGTTCAGTACATAGGGAGTGTGTTGAAATTGTCCACTAGATGATGCACTTGTCCATTTCCCTCTGTGATCCTCAATTCGGCTTTGTATATCTGGAGGTTATTTTAATGGTTGCTTATTATGTAATGAATTTTTATGCCTTCTTGTGAGTTGAATCTTTTACTGTTACACGTATAACTATGTAATTTGTTCCCATAAAGGCTTTTTGTCATAAAGCCTATTTTGTATAATAATATATCTCCAAATTTTCTTTTGGTTAGTATTTGCTCAGTATATCTTTTAAAGTCTTTTTGTTTTTAACCTTATGTATCCTTTTTTTTTTTTTTTTTTTGGTGGTTGTTAGTTTATTTTGTTCATAAGATTCCACATATAAATGAGTTCATATGGTATTTGTCTTTCTCTGACTGGCTTATTTCACTTAGCATAGTACCCTCCTGATCTATCCATACAATTGCAAAGGGTAATATTTCTTCCCCCTCCCTCTCCCTTTTATTTTTTTCTGGTGAGATAATACTCCACTGTGTAAATATACCATTGCTGTTTTATCCACTTATCTACTGATGGGCACTTGGGTTGCTTCCAAATAACACTGCAATGAACATAGGAGTGCATGTATTCTTTCAAATTAGTGTTGTGGGTTTCTTTGAATATATTCCCAGAACTGGAATCACTGCGCTTCTGTGTCTTTTTAAAATGTGTTTCTTGCTGAGACTGGTTTGGCTCAGAGGATAGAGCATCAGCCTGCGGATTGAAATGTCCCAGGTTCGATTCCGGTCAAGGGCATGTACCTTGGTTGCGGGCACATCCCCCAGTAGTGGGTGTGCAGGAGGCAGCTGATCAATGATTCTCTCTCATCTATG